GTGTGTTAACTTATTTTACGCATCACAAGGCAGACTGGCAAAAATGCCCAACCTTTACTCACATCCGAGAAAACATTCCCAACAGGATTGCTTGCTCAAAAATCAAAGAGGCACCGCTTTCCAAATCTCGAGAGCCAGATCCCCCAACAAGATTGCTTGCTAAAAAATCGAAGAGATTCCACTCTCCAAATCTTGAGAGCCAAATCCCCCAACAAGATTACTTGCTCAAAAATCGAAGAGACACCATTCTCCGAATCTAGAAAGCCAGACTCCCAATAGGATTGCTTTCTCAAAAATCGAAAGGGCACCGCTCTCCGAATCTCGAAAGCCAGATCTCCAATAGGATTGCTTGTTCAAAAATTAAAGAGGCAATGCTCTTTGAATTTCGAGAGCCAGATCTTTAACATATCTTTTTGCTCAAAAATCGAAGAGGCACCACTCTCCGAGCTTCGAGAGCCAGATTTCCTTGGATAAAACTTGTCCGCAATCTTCACACCCAACATCAGCTTTCCGGATACCACAGACCACTTTTTCAAAGTGCTCTAACAAAGTTAACACACGTGAAGCTTACAGCTCCCACTACATTGCTAAGACCGAGAAGGGTAAAGGAATAGCATTACTACTTACTGTTAGGGAAATTCCTATATATGTCGACCTTCATCCTCCACAGCCAGGCAGACCTGCAAAAAATGCTCAACTCTTCCTCACATTCGAGAGGGCACTCCCAACGAAGTCTCTCGAAATACTCAGCTTCATTCCACCCCCCCCGGATAATATTTCTACAAACAAGTCATGGCAGAGCAAGAGTATCTCATATCATCAGGGTTGAAAGCAAGAGTATCCCATATCATGCTTTTTCCCTATCTTTTCCTTTGCCCTTGCTCTTACATGCAAGACAAGGAGAAAGAGAGCAATCAATCAGCACTTGGAATCAAGCTTCCAGTCAGGAACTGACTGCTTGGAACCCCTTGCCTGATTACTTACCTAGCATTGCTCTCGAGTACTCATCTTCAACATCTTGTGCTTCCAGAGAAGATACCACGACTGCTTGAGAAGATACCAACATCTTGTGCTTAAAGTTGTCATTAACGTTAGCTATTTAAATTTGTTTGTACCATACTTGACCGATCTCGAAACTACCAAGCACCGGTCAACGTTATACCATCAAGGACCTATAAGAGTTTCCCTCCCACCAGGAGGCCAATCACAGCGCGACACGTGTCAACACCAGAGGCCAATCACAACACGACACATGTCAACATCAGAGGCCAATCACAACACGACACGTGTCAATGTCAAAACAAAGCTAGAAACTCTCTTATATAAAAGGAGATCATTCTCCCACAATAATCCCTAATGTCATTTGTACTAAATCATTCACTAGTACTTACTAAATGAGAGCTTAAACCTATGTATTTGCGTAAACCCTTCACAATTAATGAGAACTCCTTTACTCCGTGGACGTAGCCAATCTGGGTGAACCACGTACATCTTGTGTTTACTTCCCTGTCTCTATCCATTTACATACTTATCCATACTAGTGACCGGAGCAATCTAGCAAAGGTCACAAACTTGACACTTTCTGTTGTACCAAAGTCCTCACTGATTTTGTGCATCAACAAAATTAATATAATTAGAGTTAAATAAATTGTTTACTATAATTATTGTTTTAATATCAAGTTAAAAAAAAAAGGGAAATACGTTAGCCCAACGAATATATTCGTCGGGCAATTGTTATTTTATTTTTTAGTTTAGTTTAGTTTTAAAGCGTTGCCCAATGAAATTTGAGTTGGGTCAAATTTTTAATAGTATTTAATCTAGTGCGAGGCAACGAAGAACATTGTCAGGCAAGATATTTTCGTCGGGTCAAGGCGGTCAGCACATCTTGACCTAATGACCTTTTCATGGGGCAAACTCTCTTTCACGGTTCACCAAAAGGATTTCTTTTTTTGCCGGGTAAGGCTTCGAGCGACGGGTTTTGTGTAACCAATCTTTCCCGACGAACTTCTGTCGTCTAAAGTTTTGGGCTGCAAAATCCCTTTTGACCTAAATTTGTTTTCCATTTGGTAAGTTGTTTTTTCTATAGTTGAATGAACTTATCAAAAACATAAATTAATAGATTAAGATCATAAACCACAAATTATACAAGTACCAAAACTACAATTCGATAAACATAGAAACCAAACTGACTTGTAGAAGCAGTTGAAAAGAAGCTATAAGAGACTTCAAAATAGTGCACATTTCCTTGTAGAGATCTAAGATGATGAAGCCATCAATCTTCTATAGCAACCTTCAATGCTCAAATGAACAAAGGCATTTGATTCAAAATAGAGCGTGTGTTTGGCAAGAGCAGATGCCTACTACTACTACTACTACTACTACACACACACACACACACACACACACACACGTTCAATCCACTATTCTTTCTTATTAGAATCCAAGTGGAACATTGACATAATTCAAAACCTCTTTCTTTTAGACTTCTTTGCACCACTTTGAATCATAATGACAAGTATAACATACATTCTCATACTCATATTCTAACATACAATTTCAAAACATCAATATGTAATGTAAGAAGATTAAAATCACACTGCCTTTTTGAAAACCACCTCAAACTTGCCAAAGCTAAACTACATATTAATGAAACCCTCTTTGTGGGCTAAAAGAGGGTGAAAAGACATTTTTGTCTTTTATCATAACAAAAAAGATCACAACAAAAAAGTTAAGGACAATTTGTAAATGCACAAAACAAAATGTTGTTGTTTGTTTAAGCCTCACCTACAAGTGATTTTATCTTCTCTAATTTAAAAAAAAATAAAAACCTCTCTCCCTCTCCCCCACTCCCACGTTTTCTCCCACTCTCTTCCTCTCTCCTTCAATTTTAAAAACAAAAGTAAAAAAATCCACACACACTTTGTGTGTAGGCATATACTACTAGGAGAAAGAGTTCGGCTAAGCCACACATTAGAAATTTGGTATCGAATTCGTCATCCATGAGATTCGAATCTAAGACCTCTCACTTTCAAGTGAAGAGGAATACCACCATACCGTAGTACTAAACGACAATTTTGACTTTATTAATATGCACATTTGAGTTCTTCCAATTATAAATAAGCTTAAATGACAAAATATTAAAAGAAATAGTGACACATAAGAAAAATATGTAAATACATAAGTGTACAGAAATGACTGTACCAAAACTTACTTGTACTAAAATGTCTATACCTAAATGTTTGTATCGAATTGTCTGTACTGAACTATATTATAATAAATATTTGTATCCAAAATATATTTATAATTAGTTACTATACCTAAATATTTTTACCAAAATATATTATAATGAATTAGTGTAGACTTAAAAAAAGTCATGAAATTACAAAAAAAGAAAAAGACAGAATGTAAATGTTGGCATTTAAATAGAACCAATAGACTAAACTTAATTTTGAGTCTTGGACAACTTATCTTATATACGAATTAAAATCTGGCTTTCTTTTTTTATTTGTATATTTTATATCACAAAATCTGGTTTTCTATACATGTAGAATGACACCCCGTAGTCCGTGGACGGTAAACAGCAGCGGTTGCCAATTGGACGGCTGACTTTCGACTTCCCGCGCGATTCCGTTTTTCCGATTGTCGACCATTTCCTCCAAAAAGACTCTCTTTCCATTCCGTTCAGTTTCTGCCACTGCTCAGCCACTAAAAAGTTGAAAAAACGAACGCATATGTTGTTGGTGAGTTTCGTAATTTTGGGACAAAAACAGGGGCTAATGGGTCACTCCACATATCCCCTTCTATTAATCAAACGACAACGATTGATGAAGCACATAATAATGCAAACAGTAGCCATTCCCACTCCCTCATGATTTCATGTTTCGAGTCCCAGCCCAGAAAATAATTATTAAGAGTAATGTTATATTTATCATCTATTTATATTTTTTAATAAAAATAGGGTCCGTCAAAATATGTGGACTTCATCATTATTAAAGAGAAAATATAAATGATAATACGTATAAATAACAACTTATTATATTAACACCTCATAAGTTGTTGAATAAATCACACATACTTAATACATCACACATTTGCTTTTTCAATAAATAATTATCTTAATACACCCCACATACTTTCTCATAATACCCTCACACATCACATTCTTAATATACATCTTACATTTTCTACATGCACCCTATATTTTTTATACACCCCACATTTCTCAAATCTTATAAAGCTTTTAATTTGGACAAAAAATGCTGACTGGAATTTTGACAAAAGATGCCGCCTGGGTTTTAAAGCATATGTGGGTTGTTTTCAATTCCACCATTAAAACTCATGTCGTATGTTTTTAACATTTGGTGATAATTTTAGGTGTTTAATTCTTCATGTAATCTCTGTGATCACTAAAAGATGAATACGAACATAGAAACTTGAATAACGCAACAAAAGCAAGATTAAATAATTATCGATGTCGTCAAAATTACTAAAACAATAAAAAAATATGAAGTCTTACCTCATTTGAAGCTTCCGAAAAATCGATTTCATGTTTCATTCGTCAAAAATAATTTTTTTCAATCAACATGTTTGTAGTTTCATTAGTTAGGATTTTGTTCAACAATGCAGGGTCGGAGGGATTTTGATAGTTGAAGAAGATAAATAATATGTTAAAAATGATTTGGGTGTATTTATATATTTTTTATTTTTTTTAAACCTAATAAGGTCAAAATTGCCATTGTATAGTAGGGTAAATAAATTATTTAATATTAAATTTTAATGTGTGATGTATTCAACATTTTGTGGAGTGCTAATATAAAAAGCCTAAATAATAAGAATAGTAATTTTGAATTATTTAAAGAAAAACCTAAATGGAAATCATGTTGAGTAGAGAAGAGAGTCCAGAAGACGCGCCAACGGTAGAGCGTGTGTGAATTTGGTACAATAATGCGAAGAGGTGGGGCTAGCTGTGTATATAATTCATGTCCGTATTATGAGAGGGCTTTCCTCTTTTTTTCCAACTTTTGCTTTTTTCGCCCTCTCTCTAGTTTCCTCTCCTCTTTTCTTTTTGTTGATCTCTGACCCAATTGTCTGTCTGTGTGCTATCAATACCCTCACCACCACCACCACCAAGTTTACCATCGAAATCTCAAACAAGATCCCTCTTCTTCTTCTTCTTCTTCTTGTACCAGCAGCAGCTACTAGGGCTAGAGCTAGATCTACTAGTAGTGTAGGGCATGCCAATTAGTGGTAGCTAGCTAGATATCTAGGACTCTCTTCTTACTAGTAACACCAACACCACCGCACAGGATTTCCAAGATACCGACCGAGAGCTGATATCATCATATCGTTCGCGATCAATCGAGAATTGAAGATGACTCCAGCTAATCTGGCAGGGCAGTTTGGCGACACGACTTACACCAAGGTGTTTGTTGGCGGGTTGGCATGGGAAACCCAGAAGGAAACCATGAAGAAATACTTTGAACAGTTTGGTGACATCTTGGAGGCTGTTGTTATCACTGATAAGGCCACTGGGAGATCTAAGGGCTACGGATTTGTATGCACTTTCCCTTTCATGTCATGCAATATATTGTATATAGCGTTTTTAGCTAGCTAGTTAGATAGATCTTGAAATAAATGAAAGATCTGCATATATGTATTTTACTATTTTGATTATATATATATATATATGTAGGTAACTTTTCGCGAAGCCGAAGCTGCGATGAGGGCTTGTGTGGATGCTGCTCCCGTGATTGATGGGAGGAGGGCTAACTGCAACCTTGCTTCTCTCGGTGTTCAGAGATCCAAGCCTTCAACTCCAAAGCATGGTAGTATTCTATTTCTTTGCTTTTATTTTCTTTAGGTTCTCATCCTCTTTTTATTTTGGCTTTTTATTTAAAATGATTCCTGAAATTTGCATCATCCATCATTTTGGTCTCTGATATTTAAAATCAATAGAAGTAGTTCCTGAGATTGTCCACAATTCATGATATTGGTCATTCGGTTAAAAACTCCGTTAAGTGTCCTGGAACTCTTGGTCGGAAGTTTGGGCAATTTTCAAAACTTCGTAACTCAATCGTTTCTTAACCAAATTCGACCCATAATGTATCAAAATGAAGATAGAAAAATATAGAATAAGATTATACCTATTTAAAAGCCTAATGGTTGCTGGATATGGCCTGAAAATAGTCTGAAAAGTGACTGGTTCGCGGGAAAACTGGAAAATTTGCTGGAAACCGGGTAAACTTTAAACGTTTATAACTTCTTCAATACTCAACGAAATCGAGTGATTCAAAAACGAAAATCATACTTCTTGATGAGACGAAGATAATGGTACCTTTTTTGAAGGTTAACTCACCGTAGTTGGTCAGAAAATGGCTCGAAAGTGGCTAACCATTTTCTAGTTAGCCACTTTCGAGCAGTTTTTCGGCTAAACCACGGTGAGTTAGTAGTCAAGAAAGATACCATTCTCTTCGTCTCGTCGAGAAGTATGATTTTCGTTTTTGAATTACTCGATTTCGTTGACTATTGAAGAAGTTATGAATATTTAAAGTTTACCCAGTTTCCGGTGAGTTTTTCAAATTTTTCACAGACCAGTCACCTTTCAGGCTATTTTCCGGCCATCTTCGGCAACCACTGGGCTTCCAAATAGGTATAATCTTATTCTACACTTTTTTATCTTCATTTTTGTATATTATGGGTCAAATTTGGTTAAGAAACGCTTGATTTACGAAACTTTGAAAATTGCTCAAACTTCTGGCCAAGAGCTCCGGGACACTTAACGGAAAGACCAAAATTATAGATGGTGGACAATTTCAGGGATCATTTCTATTGATTTTAGATTTCATGAACCATTTCTATTGATTATGTATTCAGGTACCATTTTGTATAAAAAACCTTTTATTTTATCATTAATTGAAACCTTATTTTTTTATTTTTGGTTAAGGTCTTTTGACTTTTGTGCATGTCCTTATTTGAATTTTAAATTAATTACATGTCATATGTCAATTTCAAAAATAAAAAAACTTATTAATCATTTTAGTATTTTCATATATTTCTATTTTTAATTTGTATCATTTTATAAATTTATACCAATATTCTTTTTAGTTTTAATTTGTACCCATAACTTTAAATTTAATCTATACCTAGATTTTTTAATTTATTTTGTACCCATATTTTTTTGGCTGAATGTACCCATACTAATTACATGTATTTATTTTATGTTTTAAAATATATCAAAAAATTTTCAAATTTAATAATTACGTCGGTACCTTATTTTTTTTGCTAAAACTATGTGAAGAACAATATATTATACTCTATTTTTTATTTTTATGTCAGTATTATATTTAAAATATTATTTCAATTTGTTAAATTTCATAATTTGTAGAATATTGATTGCATAAATGCAGGAGCTAAATTACTTAAATGATGCTAGGGACCTTAATCAAACTTTTTAAACAAAATGACCTTATTAATTTCATAAATTCCTTAAATGATGCTAAGGACTTGAAACTTTTAAATTTCATAATTTGTAGAATATTTAAAATACTATTAGATTGACAAAAGACCAGAACCAAAATGACCTTATCAATTTCCTCAATACCTCATTTCTTCTTTAATTAATCTCTAATCTGTATAATTAAGGTAACATAGGTTTTACTTACAAAAGCTTCATCATGAACTAATCTTGCGTTTTCACGTGAACACACATATACATATCTTCTAATTAAGATACTTTAACTGATTATTTATATTACCATTAGTTCTTACATATTAACTTGGTGACGCAGCCAACAGCCTTCAGAGTTTTGGATATTCCTCACTAATTATCATTTATGTTCTCTAGAAAGAGGTTATTGAATATATATATATATATATATTGGATTGTGGTCCGAAAAATATTCTTCTTTGAGGAAAATTCTTTTCGCAGTGAAATATATGCAATAATGCAATTTAGATATTCCTCAACTAAGGATTAAGTTTATTTCTACATTTTTTTTTAATTTAAATTGGATCAATATCGAACAAGTCCAATATGAATATCTCATGTGCTTTTTGCAAAAATAGGTGGATAATATAAATACAGGCCCTTTAGGTAAAGGAATTTCTATTTTTTGAAAAAAATGAGAATTAGGTGTGCGGCCTACTTCACATCGAATTTCAACAATCTGAATCGTCTATTTTGTAAGTCTCGATTCATGGATTATCCTTGCAAAAATCAATTCAATCAGAAACCATTTGCCTATTTAATTATCAAGATCAATTTCATTGTTTCTTATATAATAAAGTATTCATTCATTTTTTTGAACCTAATTAGATGTCTTAAATATTTCCGATTTGGCTAATATTTTGCAAGGATGATCTATGAGGTACAACTTGAAAAATAAACGGTTCGGATTGTTAAAGTTCGATGTGGTGTGGACCCTACAACTAATCCCCATTTTTATAAAAAAAAATGGGGATCCTTCCCTTAAGGGCTTCCAATATATATATATATATATAAATAATTGGTGTTATGGTAGCTCAAATTTACATAGCTACCATTCTAAAGCAAGATCGACATATTTGGAACCATATTTCCATGCTCTTCTTAATTTGAAATTGTTTCAAGCATAGATATATATACTCATCCTTTCATGCAATATTCTTCCCCTTCTTCTGATTATTATTATCATTAGATTAATGTTAATGCAATTTTGTGTATATTATTTTAGAAGAGAAATAATGTTGATACTTATATATGCAGTACTAGTAGTAGAGATGTCTTTAATTTGTAGAGTGATGTATAATCAAAGTTACTTGGAAATATATAAGAGATTAATTGGGGAATGATGGGCAGGTGGAGGGGGGGGAGGCAGGAGCTTTGGGAGGGTAATGGGGCCATTCCAAACAGGGTTTGGAGGAGTGGGATCAGCTTTTCCCTCTGCGGCAACCTTCCCTCATTATGCCATCCAACAAGGGATACCTTACAATCTTTATGGGTATGTATGACAATTGACCATTTTGACCATTTGACCATCTCCATCATCAAATATAATATTGGGTTACCTTACAATCTTTATTTTTGGATTACTGGGATTTTTTTGGATGTTCTGAATTACTTATATTTTAAATATTTTAATAGTTAGATTTTTATTTATAAACACAAAAATTAAGATAAAATAGTTAAAATATTTGGAATCATCGGTATTCCGGAGCAGTCAATAATTTTTTATGGGTAACTATATATGCATGTGTTGATGATGAAGATGCTTTATATGTTGGATCCTCATCCATCTCTGCTAGCTGTATGAATACGTGTGTGTGTGTGTGTGTGTATGATAAGCAGCACGTGCTTTGCCAACTCATGGACTTCCACCACCCAGCCTCAACATCCTCATTAAAGTAGCCCTTTTTTTTATGACCAAAAAAAAAAAGTAGCCCTTTTTTTTTAAAACATTCAAGTAGCCCCACTATATATGCATCAAAATTCTGTCAAAATTCACCAGCACGATAATCTCTCTCTCCACCACATGATCAACATCAAAATTCATTCCCTTTTGGCATGGTTGTGAGATTCCCCCACCCCAAAAAAACACACTGGCAATAACATAGTACACAATATATATGCACCGCGCAAGCTTGTGCTTTTACATTTGAACCTCATGCATGCATGCATATATATATGACATGCATCTTGTATCAGCAATCTCTCATGAGCGCATTGCATTCGCAACCTTAATTAACCATTCATTGACATGAATTGTTTTTAACATGCATGCATCATGTTTTACACAACCATGTATAACGCATAAGTAATTTACATATTCGATTGAATTCGAATCGATATTGTCTTGTCTAATATATGCTGACTGACTTGTAACTCTTTCCGTTTCGATCAGGTACTCTTCATACTCGCCAGACTACACTTATCCTACGGTTTGTACAATCTTCTCCTTTTTATATTATATTATTTCCTTAATTAATTTGTATTTTCATTTCTTAGCACTTTTTCAAATATTTCCTCTAAAACATTTTACCCACTTGGTTTTCTCGTATTCCCTTTCTATAATGAAACATTCTACCTTTGCTTCTTTATAGGCATGCACTTTACTCTTCCAACAGCGTCCATATTACGTAGGGAATGTTTTTTTCAACCACTCTAAAGTGATAGTGATGTTTATCACTCTATTTATCACTATTAGATCATTTTAAATTTTGAGATCTGTGTAGTAGATAGATACAAATTTTAAAATTTAAACTTGTTCAACGGTGATAAATATGGTGGTAAACATTATCACCAGTTAAGGGTGGTGAGCAAAAAATGCACCTATTACGTAAGGGTAAGAGGAAAGGGGACCAACCAACACATATATGCATGGCATGTCTTGGCAATTCCATGTATGCGATGCCAAGTTGTGAAAAATAATTTAACTTCTTTAACTATTCCCATCAACCAAACTCTTTTTTTTTTTACCTTGATTAATATACACCCGTGTTCCGCGTTCCAACTTGGTAAGTAGGCTTTCACTATAATCTACACCAAATAGTGCACACAAAAGAACAGGAAGGGAAGAAAGTGAAAAACAAGACCAAATATGAAAGTAAAAATGGGGAACCCACATGTACAGACTCCAGTTCCACGAGACCTCCTGAGTTTAAATACGCAGTTATATTCCTCGCGTTTACCGATAAAAAAAACATTTTTTTTTCTTTCTAGATATGTACTATATATACCTAAGTAATTGTACTTGAATTTAATGTAAGGTAATTATGTATTAAATTAACTAACTCGTATAAGTAAGTGATGGTTTGTGTTTTGTGCAATGTATATATTTTTCAGAACTACTATGGTTTGTATGGAGGGGCAGCAGGCCAGTATCCTATGTACGGAACAAGCCCTGCAACTGGGATGGTGGCCGGAGCAGCAGCGGCGGCGGCGGCATTTTACCCCTATCTTTCATATGGATCAGAAGGGAATGGAGGAGCCGCAGCAGGTGCGTATGGTAGCTCAGGTGTGCCGAGCTATGCAACTGGTGTCCAATACCCCCACCAGCAGCAGCAGCTTTTTCAGTATTCGACCATGAATTCAAGTGGAGTTGGAGGCTACCAGCACTATGGTCCTCCCATTTCTCTTGCGCCCTCGCCCGCCTTGCAGTCACCAGGTAATTACGTGAATTTGTTTTTTGTTAGATCGATATGAGAGTAATTTCTTTTTGTTTATCCTTTTTACCCCACTTAGTGGGAAAAAGCTTTGTTGTTGTTGTTGCTGATATGAGAGTAATTTCTTGACTTTTAACTAGTTAATCTTGGTTGAGATGGATGGAGACACTAATATCTTTGACAGTGTGTTTTGCTGTGCCACAGGCGTAACCGTGGCCCTTCCTGCACCAATTCCTCATCGCTAGTTCATCCGAAAGTGCGTGCGTGCATGCATGGCTTCAATTTATTTGAAACTCGATTCCACCCTCATCGGCTGCAAATGCTTCTGAGTTTTCAGCAACCTCTGGCCTAACCATGGTTCACTTCTCCATCTCTCTCTCTCTCGCCGTCTAACACACAATTAATTAGCCCAAGCAATTGGCATTTGAGCTAATTAATTTGCACACATACAAAGTCTCCCAAAGGGGCTACATGAAATCATTCCATCTCCACAATTGGCTGGGGTACGTAGGTACGCGCATCTCATGCATACTCATGCATTTCATTTTCCCCTTGAAGAGTTCCTTTGAAGAGGAACTAAAGCATCCTTTTAAACACCAACTCAGGCTACTGGGTTTAGCCAAGTTGGAAAATAGTTTTCGTTGTTTACCTTAAAATTCTTAGCCCTGGAGAGGCTGAGGCAACAAAAGAAAAATGTAACTTTTGGCCCAGGAAGGCTAAAGAAATGCATAAAATGGCTTGCGAATATTGTAAATTCAAAACAAATAGCAAGCCCCTCACTTTTGAAAATTTTCAATCCAAAAATGTTTAATCCCTCAATCTTCAGCTAATCAATCACCTCAAACAAAAAGAGGCGCGCAATTTTGGGGAAAAAAACATGGGCATGGAATGCCCCAGTTGTTTTGGCTGTTAGCAACTAGTCTTAGGATTTTGAAACTAGCTAGGAGCAGTGATGTTTCTATAAAGCTTTACCTAGTTTTTGTCAACTTTCACATAATATGTGTCTAACCAACCAACGTTGGATCTTTTTTCCTTTAGGGTAAAGGGAAGAAAATCCCTAACTCTTGTTCGTTTCTTGTAAATTCATCAAGTGTGGCTAAACTATTGGAGTTTTAGCCCCATTTCACTAATTTAATTTTAGGAGGGATAGTTTTTAGCATTAGCTTTTAGCTATAGCTGGTACAAATCTCATCATCCTTTTGAGCACTCCACTAATGGGTGTGGAGCTCAAAAGCATCTGCATGTAATCCTCGGGAGATATTTTGGTTCCCTTGGGTTCTTCTCCACTAACGCACCAACCATGGTTAGGACTTAGGGCTTCCTTACTCTTCTCTCTCTCTCTCTCTCTCTCTCTCTCTCTCTCTCTCTCTCTCTCTCTCTCATGTTCATCTACTACTTGGAAATGGACCTTGATACCCTTTTAATTATGTGTAAGTCTATGCTTTGGATTGTAATTAGGGATCCTATTAAGGACAGTTATGATTCATTCTCCATCGCTGCTGGTTGAGAATGGATATGCTACTCACTACTATGCTTTAAATTGAGACTTTTTTGTTTAATATTCTGATGATGATATTAATTGAGACTTTTAATTGCTTAATTCTTCTGAAGTTCAAAATTTTGGCAGTCAACAGAGGAAATATTGTAACTTTCTCAAAATTAATTAAACATGACCATCAATACCGTGAATTGATGGTAGTGCATGCAATAAAACTGAAAGATTTACCAATCCTTTCTTAACACGTATTGTGACAATCTGTATATTACAATATTATTTATATTTATACCTACATATTTGAATATGTTTACTTGGCATGTTGACATTAATCTTTGATGGGTTTTTTTCCTTGTTCAAAATTACGGTCTGGTGGTATTCTTCTTCATTTGGAAATGAGAGGTCTTATGTTCGAATCTTGTGGATGGCGAATTCGATACCAAATTAGGCTGTCAATTGTGTGGTTTAGCCGAACTCTCGATGTCTTTAACGTAAAAATACTGATGTACTAAAAATAAAAAAAAAACGTAACAAGAGACGATAAACTAATTTTAACTTCAACACACCAAAAGTCATGTCATAGTTGTTTATCAAAAACACGGAATGATTTGCCAGCTTGATAAAAGCAAGTTGTTGATAACCATTCTCAGTCGCTCCAAATTTAATTTAAGCTAGAAATCATGAAAAGATATATATATATATATATATATATTTTTTTTTTTTTTTTTTTTTTTTATTTTTTTTTATTTTGAGATGAACATGAAAAGATATTTAAGTCCATGAAGTGATCAACAATATATGTTTATGACCAACTGGTATATGTCCACGCATAAAGTGTATGTGAAACGTTTTTATTTTTGTTTTTAAAATTGAAAGAGAGAGGGAGAGAGGAAGAGAGTGAGAGAACTGTGGAAATGTGAGGCTTAAACAAAAAATGGTAAAATTTTGATTTATAAAATTACGTTACTGTTCTTAATTTTTTTTTTTTGTGAAAAAAGACAAAAATGTTTTTTCACTCTCTTTTGGTTGATAAAGAAGGTTTCATTAATATGTAGTTTAAGTAAGACTAGAAATTTATGCATGTGCGTTACTGTGGGATAATTGAAAATTATATAAAAGATTAATTTGAACGATATAAAAGATTGTGCTACAGAATAAAAGCTCATACGGATGCAAATCCTACCTTAGATTTTCCTTTTATTTTCAGTTTTATCAAGCATAGCAAAATCATATCTCTCTCTCTCTCTCTCTCTCTCTCTTTATCTCGGCATAACATAAGATTTAAATGAGTCATAAATATTGTATATAAGTGTTAAAATAAGAAACTGAATGTGTTATAGCAATGTGCGTGAAGATGTAAAAACAAATAAAAGAACCTGAATGACATAATGGTAACCACAGTAGACCAAGCAAAATAAAAACATAAAATAATTAAGGTTATACATTATTCGTACAAAAAATAAAGTAATACATTATATGGATCAACAATTGAGAATACAAAATGTTTGCTTGTCTCAATCAAATTTCGTCATTAAATTACAACAGATGAAAGAGAAAAACCCAAAAAAGACGCATAACAATAAAGAAATACCTTTGTCATAGACTCATAGTTACGTTCTTGCAGGCTTTGTTATCGATAATAACTCTGAGACAAACATCAGACAAAAATCGTAAATCTCAAGAAGGGATAGGATAAATGATTGAACTGAAAGGAATTTAAAGTATGATTTTTGCATATACCTTGGTGGGCTCATTCTCCGGATGAGTTTCTCGTACTCATCATTCATGTTATATGAAAAACTCATACTCGCTTCTGCGAAAAGCCACAAAAATAATGAAAATACTATTAGATAAAAAGGTCGGAGAAAATAAAAAAGAACCAATTGAAAAGATGAACAAAAATCATTGTAATCAGTTGGAACAACATACTTGTAAATCTTAGAGGGAATTTTTTTTAAGAGGTTAAAATAAAAAACATCATTTCGATCACCGGTAATTCAATTGGGATTACACAAAAATAACTAAAAACAACTTTCTCAGAAAACTACCTCATGTGATACAGATACCATTACTTAGGAGTTGGTAGTAAATCCAAAATTTAATTGGAGGCTCTACATAAAAAAATATATAATATATTAGTATGGACATACCATTCTGAATATTCTGTGAGATCTACTAATCTGAGTATATGACTACTATAGACATCGAAATTTCGATGAAATAAATGTTGATCAATAATTAAAATTCCAACGTTCATCTATCACATAAATTTTACACGTAGCATGTGACTTAACGAAAAATAAAAAATCATCGGAAAAGTTATCAAATAGGACTCGTGTCAACACCTGGCAGAAATGATTTATTTCATCTGATTATTTAAATCCAAAAAATCAAGTTTTGAAATTCTATAAATAGGAAGCCAATGCATTCATTTTGGGGGACCAATTCATAACCAATTCACATCACACCAAAACCTTGAAGCTTTGAAACTCCAAAGCTCTGAAGTAAATCCCGAAGGATCAAGAAAGCTCTCTTCGTTCTTCGTCAAATCCTCACTCAAGATCAAGCTCCAACGGCCCTTGAAAAACTTCCACCAAATCCTCCTTCAAGATCAAGCCCCAACGCCCCTTGAAGAACTTCCTCCTTCAAGATCAAGCTCTAACGACTCTTGAAGAACTTCCATAATTCAAGATCAAACCCTGATGGCCCCCTTGAAGAAAGTGTTCATCGTTCATCACCTGTTCATCCTAAGATCAAGCCTTGAAGGCCCTTGGATCAATAACACAATCCACAAATCTACACATTACGAAGATCGAATCAGAGGCTAAATTTGTAGAAGAGATTGTAACTCCTAAATCATTAATACAAATATTATTTTGTACATGTGTTTGTGTCTCATTCATCGCATGAATTTCCGTGTTTACAAATTTGGCACGCCCCGTGGGACAATCTCTACCTCTCATCTCTATCTTCAAATCCGCAAAAAGCACAAATGGCATCAAAGAAAAGGTTCAAGCGATTCCCTCAACCAATGCGAAAAACAAGAATGTCATCGCCGCAAGTGGTGTCACTTTGGGCATCATAACTCGAAGCAAGGCAAAAGCTCTTTCTGCTGCTTCTTCCACCCTTTTACCGATGGAGCAAGAGCACCAGAGGCACGAGCCCGTGATCACCCTGGCCTCGCTAAAAGCACCAAGAGAGGAAAGTTCGAAGAAGTACTCTGATTCCATGCTTTTCGATGTCGACTCAAGCAGCAGCTCAGCCATGCAAGTCATGATCACCAGAGCGACTTCAATAGCAGCTGGCTCAAATGAATAAAGCGATCGCAAGGCTAACACGAACTGTGGAAGAAAAAGTTTTGCAAATCCCTGCGCTCGCCAACCGACTGGAGGCATAGGACGGCGAGAACCCCGACCCAAAGGTTGATCCACCAAAGAAATGAGTCGGCGAAGAAGAGGAGCCTCCGGTGGAGAAAGTCGATACAAAGCCAGAGCCAGACCAAGCAGCAGTGCTCATGGTATCTCTCTCTATCCAGCAGCTGTAGGAGATGATCGCCAACACCATCAAGACGCAGTACGAAGGAAGCTCACATGACTCTGTACTATACTCAAAGCCCTACTCTAAAAAGATTGACGCTTTGAAGATGCCGAGGGGTTATCAGCCACCAAAATTCATGCAGTTCGATGGAAAAGGAAACCCAAAGCAACATGTCGCCCATTTCATTGAAACTTGCAACAATGCTGGAACAGGGGGAGACTACCTCGTCAAGCAGTTTGTGCGCTCGTTGAAAGGTAACGCCTTTGACTGGTACACCGACCTCGAGCCCAAATCTGTCAACAATTGGGATCAGCTAGAGAGGGAGTTCCTCAACCGTTTCTACATCACTCGCCGCACCGTAAGCATGCTGGAGCTAACCAGTACAAAACAGTGGAAGGATGAACTTGTCGTCGACTACATCAATAGATGGTGTTCATTAAGTTTGGATTGCAAAGATCGGCTTTCTGAAACCTCTGCCATTGAGATGTGCGTTCAAGGCATGCATTGGGGGTTACATTACATCCTTCAAGGCATAAAACCAAGAACATTTGAGGAGCTAGCACCTCGTCCCATGACATGGAGCTGAGTATTGCCAATCACAGGAAGAATGAGCCGATCACCGACTTCAAGAAAGATAAGGTGTTTGCCCCGAATGTAGACAAGGCCGCAATGTTAGACGACTTGCTAGAAAAAAAGGTAATTAAGCTACCCGAATGCAAATGTCCCGAGGAGATGAATCGCGTAAACGATCCTAAGTACTGCAAGTACCATCGTATCGTGAGCCATCCTGTTGGTAAGTGCATCGTCCTTAAAAAACTCATCATGAAGTTAGCACAACAAGGGCAAATCGAGCTTGACCTTGAAGACACAGCTCCAACACATACTACTACAATTGCGTTTGGATCATTCGATCCCGTGCTTCTCCAAGTGACACCTGACCACTCTCATCAATACTCAAGCTGCACGACACCTTCTGCACAACCATCACTGGGGGGCAAGCAACCAAGGTGCACTTACCAACGATGACGAAGGATGGACCTTGGTGACCTACAAAAAGACAAGGAAGCCAAAACCACAAGAAACAAGGCCAAAAGCGGAACAAGGGAGAAAGCACCGCCGCCGCAACAATATGAAACCCAAAGGAAACATAAGGGCTATTAAGCCAACATACGTTGGGGAACCTATGGAGCAAGAGCTACGCATTCTAGTCTACTTGCACGAGTACTTCCCGAATGACTTATTCCAATAGTGCACTACCGTTGCCTGTCACATGGTGGATGTGGAGATAGAAGAGCCCTCGAAAGGCGATGCTATCACAGTAGAGGAAGAGAAGACCCTCACACCCAAAGAAGGCCTACCGACACACGTCAGCATCAAGGAAACGTCATGATTGCCCAAGGGGATGCGAAAAACGTTAATAGCGGTCTTAGCGAGTCCTGACGACCATGAGGTGCAAGACAGCAAGAATGAAGGTTTGAAGCTTCGGCCACACGAATATGCCACCCATGATGTAATCAACTTTATTGACGAAGACTTACTGTTAGGATCAAGGCCTCACAATTGCCCTC